ATGATGGGGTCTCAGCTACTAACGCAGACTTTCTTCCAGAAAGTGGGGCTCACTGGTGGTTAGGTACCAGCTCTCTCAGATTGCTAACTCTTCCTTGGGAAGGGATCATTTTCCAGCTTTCAGTTTTTTCCATTAGCTCATTGGACGCAACAGGTAAACCCGTGCCGACAGGGTGAAGACAGCCCCTTCAAAGGCAGATGCCAGACAAGGGTGACCAGCGTTGACCACCACCAATGGGTGGGGAGCTTTGCTGCTGCCTGCACCAGGCTCTGAAATCTGCCAGGAAAGGACGTGAATTAGGGCTCTTTAAGCTTAGGATGAAAACTCACTTTTTGCTACTATGAATTATTGGCCCAGATATGCAGTCTATCCTTACTAGCCTGAGAAGGTTATTCAGCGAGCAACATTTGATGCTGTTGCCATATTAGTTACAGTACCAGCCCCGCAAAGCATAACATTTGAACAGTATGAACCTTCTTGTATAAATAAGATACAAAGGCAAAATTAAAGCCCCACCCATGAAATCCCCTTTCTGGCCAAAATTAAATTTGAAAATTGAACATCACTGAATCCATCAGCTTATGCTAATAAGTTCTATTGAAATCCTAGCGGCTTACACGCAAATGCTTGTATCTGTCTTTGTTCTGAGACCTGGGCTAAAAGAGAGGTGGAGGTGCCTCACTATATATTTCTAGAGCTTCTGTAGGACAGCGACCTTGTCATTCCCATCATTTCATTGTCCAAAGTCAGTTGGGTGGCCACGACATCAACGAGGCAGGCATATGATGTCCTGCAGGGAGAGGCCCAGTGGAAAGGAGCAGTGAATATCTTGGCAATAGGACACTATTTCCCTTCTGGATCTGGGGCAGTACCTTCATTTACTTCAACCCTAAGGCTCTGGTACGTCTCTCTTTTCTGAAATTTAGTATTGTCAACAGAACACACAGGAATATCCGTACATCAGGCTCACGGTCATGAAATGTAGAGAAGGTAAGCAAATCACCATCTGTGCTGTGGTTGTGGTTGTGAGCACCCACCTGCTCCTTCCAACCGAAGCGTCAGTCCTGCTGGGCTGTGAACACCGTGGCCCAAAGCAGGTCATTTCTAGTGTTTGAGCCAGATTGAAATAAACGGGTGAGGTTGAGTCTGAATTTTAGGGTGGAAGCAGAGGGTATGTTAGGGAGTCATATTGGGTGGCCCCTGGGTTTGAGAGAAGTGAGCCCTTTACCCTGCGAGTGAGAGTTTGGAGCCAAATCAATCGCGCTGACTCACTCCTCCAGGTGATTTCCCCCAGGGAACTTAGAGTCGGCCGCAGGTGAGGAAAGGTGTGGAGGTGGTGGAAGAATGGCCCAGAGAGGACGCACGGGCCGCAGGAACACAGCCACTCAGGTTCTAAAGAAAAATGTCATCATGGAGACAATTCTTGCCTCTGCTGGTCAGGGTGCTTTATCACCGACACCTAATACCTATCGATGATTGGACCCATTTTGGCCATCACCCACCAGGACAGTGTCAGCCTGTGGGGATCGCAGCTTCTGGAAATGAAAGGTGGTGACGATCAGTAATGAGGGAGCAGAAGGATGTGGGTGACAGGTGGTCAGAAGAAGGTGAGGCCCAGGGAAGCCGTGGGAATTCTGAGTGGGGCCGTGAGCTCTCTGCAGAGCAGGAGATGGGTACCTCAGCCTGCTGTTTGAGTTTTAAGGGAGAGCGTCACCCCAGAAAGTCAGAGGCTATGGAGAATCCAGGGTAAGGCAGGGACAGAGGGAGGAAGAGAAGAAACAGCCCAACATCTCCTTCACTTCAGCTTGGCTGGGACAGTGGTCAAAGCTTCCAGTCATGAGAAGGAACCAGCGTGCGGACTTTGTCTTAGCCAAGAGCCACATCCTTCCTTCTGTGTGCCTCATATCTTTGGGGACACACAAACCCTGAAACTGCACCCACGGTAAACAGTCTCAGAGCTTAGTACTCATGAATTCTCGCAGAAGTGGGAATTTTTTTTTTTAAGATTTTATTTATTTATTTGACCGAGTGAGAGAGCACATGCAGGGGGAGCAGTAGAGGGAGAAGCAGCCTCCCCACCGATCAGGGAGCCCGATGCGGGGTTCGATCCCAGGACGCTGGGATCATGACCTGAGCTGAAGGCAGACGCTTAACCATCTGAGCCGCCCAGGTGCCCCAGAAGTGGGAAATCTGCATGTTACAGTCTCATAACTGCCCAGATGCTCCTTTCTCTTCCCCCCTGGGGTGCATCCCATGTAGCTCAAGCCCTGGGCTGCCACATGACCTTTGGTCCCTCCATTCTTTTCACACTGAATGGAGGGTGGCCTCAGTTTGGTGTCCCTGCTTTCACTTCCTCCAACCCCAAGTTCCTCACAGGCTTCAAGTGAAGGGCCATGGCCTTGCATTCTGCATGGTTTCCACCCTGTGTCTTCTTCTCTGGGCTTTCTACCCTCTGGCCAGGCCTTGCCAGCCCTGCATGGGCTTGCAGCTATCTCTGCCTTGCTCCTCGAATTCCCTCTGCCCCCAAGCTTGGTCCCGGAGGGAGACAACCCCCTTTCCAGTTTGTCCTGGCAGCGGCAGGATTCCCGTGCCCACACACAGGACAGGGGAGAGGGCGATGGCACAGGGAAAATACACTAGAGCATTTCATGGTGCCTGGCCAGACAGTAGTCAGAGGACAGCCCTGCCGGCCCAAACAGGGCCTCTGTGCGAAGGCCAGGGAAGGTACCCCTTTCCCAGGGTGCGTACAACCTCCTGCCTGGGAGCATGGCCTGCTCAGCAACGTAGGCTGGATTTCAGGCCCAGTGTGTCCCTCCTTAGGGTGCGGAGGCAGGGCCCCACCTGCACAGCCGCCCCGGCCCCACAGAAACAGAAGACGGAGCAGGTGCAAGATTCCCGTGGGGGAATCACTCATGTCTGAGCCCAGATACCCTCCAGGGAGACCGCTGCTGAATCTCGTAACCTGGTCACGTTCCCTGGCCCAGTGATAGCTTCGCGCCCCTCCTCCAGGCCACACCTTTAGGACTGGTCCGGGCCCCTCTCCTTATCACCCCTATAACCATCTACCTGCGATTCTAAGCACTATGGGTGTAGCAACGCTGGACACTGTTGTGTATGTATGATTGGGAAAATGAGTAAATGTGTTGATGCTTTTGGGGACCTAGAGTTACCATGAAAGAAAAGAAGAGGACAGAAATACAGAATGGGAAAATGAAGGGGGGGAATTGGAGGGGAGACGAACCATGAGAGACTATGGACTCTGAGAAACAAACAGGGTTCTAGAGGGGAGGGGGGTGGGGGGGACGGGTCAGCCCGGTGATGGGTATTAAGGAGGGCATGTATTGAATGGAGCACTGGGTGTTATACGCAAACAATGAATCATGGAACACTACATCAGAAAACTAATGATGTAATGTATGGTGACCAACATAATAAAATAAAGTTAGAAAAAAAAAAAAGAAATACGGAATGGAGAAGGCAAGGTGGAAACTCGGTTGGGTTAGAATGGGCGGTATCAGTACCGACATAACTGGAGTATAATTTCTTTCATGTGATACAGGTCTACTAATGAGAAGAGTGGAAGTTAGGGGGGTAACTTCAATTGAGGTTCAAAACTGGTGTTCCCTCTTATTAAAGTCAATTGCAAAAGGTCACCCCTTAAAGCTGATCTGTGGAGAAATTTTATATCTTTCATCTTTGAAAATGTCTTTTCACACAAGGTGCTGCCAAACACTGACACCAGGCTGCAAGCATAAGATATTACATGTGCATATTTATCACTTGGAAGATATTTATAGAATTCTATTAGATTCCTCACTTGATGTATACCTTCTAGCATGGCATGCCATTAGTTCACAGAGCACCTCGAACTGAACGTAAGATGAAAGCTCTCCAGTTGCACAAACTGATTTTAAAATACGGAAATGTCTTCTGTCCTTGCACTGAGGTCTGAAAATCACTGCTAAGTTCAGAAAACATGTTTTTTAAAAAAAGATTTATTTGTTTATTTGAGAGAGAGAGAGAGAGAGAGCAAGCATGAGCGGCAGGGGCAGAGGGAGAAGAGAGAGGGGAATCCCAAGCAGACTCTATCTCACGACCCTGAGATCACGACCTGAGCTGGAACCAAGAGATGGATGCTTAACCGACTGCACCCCTCAGGCGCCCCAACACTAATGGTTTAATGCACGTGGTAAATTCCAGTATTTCCCACAAAATACCACTAACAAATAACCGTTGACTGACCCACTTCCACACATTTTGTAAATTTGTCCCACCCAGGCTTTTCCTGCTCAATGCATATTTTAACCCCCGTCAATTCCAACACATCTTAGCAGATTCCACTTCAGATTAAACTGAGTGAATGTTTTCTCAATTCCTTCGAAAATATTCTTGCCTGGAGTTATTTCACACAGACTATTCATGTAGCAAGTAGCCAAGGAGATCTAGTAAATTCCACAGAGCAAGTCACTTTTACCCCTTTATCCCTAGTTTCCAGCTGGACAGTCCTTTCAATTACCTGCAAGAAAATATGCCTGAGCAATTACTTCTATATGAATGGGTTGCTTTAACTTAGAATGTGGTCTGATTGGTTTTAAGGGTACATATTTATTTCGTGTGTTTCCTTGCCCAGTTTTTGGAAGTTTGGCATGCTGGACAAAGCGTAGGCTCTGGAGTGAATGGCACTCACGTTTGGGCCCCAGCCCTGCCACTTTCTAGCTGTGTGAGCCTAGACAAATTTCTGTGACTCAGTTTCCTCCTTAGCGAAACGAGACACATTCCATCCACACCCATGGTCAAGTATTGAGGCGCAAAGGGGCTCAGGTTTGCAAAGAGCCAAGCACAGCACCTGAGACAAATTCGGTGCTTGGAAAATGCTTGTTCACCTCCCTGCTTTTCTTCCCATATCCTGTTTTATATACAAATGTGTAAAAAAAATATGCAAAACAATGCCACGATATAAAAATCAATGTTTATTTGTCCCACCTTTGATGAAAGCTAGTTTACACTTTGGTGGAATGGTCAAGTTCTTCCCTGGCGGCATCTCGTGTAGATTCCTCTCTGGACTGAAGCAGACAGCCATCGTGCACACAGCAAAGGCGGCCAAGGTGTCTTCTGAATGTGGGGTCAAGGAACGCGTGGAGGAGGGGGTTGATGCAGCAGTGGGTGGCTGCGACAATTCTCAGGATCTGAACGCTCCTGTCCAGGTTGTAGTTGTTCTTGCAGTCGTGCAGGGAGAAAGATTCTTTGAAAGTGGACAGGAAAAGTGCAATGTTGTAAGGTGCCCACATCAGAAGGAAAACAGCCATTATGGCAAAAACCAGCTTAGAAAGGCCAGACCTCCTCTCCCCAGACCTTCGTATTTTTCTCATTCGCGTGTAGCAAAAGACAAAAACGCACAGTGGAAAAAGAAGTCCCAAAATGTTCATCTTTAAGGTCAGAAAACGCTTCCAGGATGTCTCCTCCGCCAGCAGGAAGTGAGGTAGTCTCAAGAAGCACTTGTATGTCTGGCTTTCCATCTGAGCTTTATAAAACACAGATTCGGGCAAAATGACCAGAGTGGCTAGGACCCATGCCAGAACACTTGAGATCATGCCCCAGCGTGCTGTCCTGGTGGTTGAGGGGAGGCTCACAGGGAAAAACACCAGGTACCTGTGCACTGTCAGGAGGACATTGAAAAATGCCTCGCTGTATAGGCCTATGGAGTACAGGACCACTAGAATTTTACAGAAGGGGTTGTCGAGAACCCCCCCGTGTGTCGCAGTGTAGGCCCAGAATGGCAGGGCCAGCAAGAAACACAAATTCGAAACTGCCAAGTTCAGGAGATAGATATCTTCCGTGTGCTTGAGTCCTTTATGTTTCACCAGGATAAGCACAACCAAGAAACTGCCCAGGAGACCAGCCAGGAACACGGTGGTGGAGAGCTGGGGTACCACCCGGGCCGCCAGGATCTTGGGGTCATAGGGGTTGCATGGTTCTATTTCGCTGCTATTCAGGTCATCCTCTATGAGGACGTCATAGTCATCCTCCGGGGCTGACGTGTAATTAGCCATCTTCAGGCTGCCCTCTGGAGACGTGAAAGATTATTTTCCCTTCAAATAGCTGGGTGGTCCTGGAGGGGAAAAAAAAAAATTGGATTAGTGTCCGTGAAGATATCCCGTCCCTTTTCTGGTGCTTCATTTTACCCAGAGTAGGTCTACAGCTGAGAAGATTGAAAATAAACATTTCTCCAACGCATCCCCACTTGCTGAGAGTGGCTACTATAAATGGCCTCCTCACTAAGCCCTCACGTACTTGGCAATGCGCTAATACCACCGGCGAAATAAAAGTAAGCATTACACTTCTTCACAGAACTTAAATTTTCCTGGTGAAAACACGATTTGCCTGTCTGAAGGTGATATTTAAGGAAACACACCGTCAAAGAGAGCCTGGTGCTGTGGTTTAGGGTCATGAAATGGGCATCAGTCCTAATGTCTACGTGTTCCAAAAATCTGCTCACCCTGTGAAGTAGCTTCCTGCAACAGGCTGGCCGAGCTCTTCTCTCCAAGGATAGAAACCAAGGTTTGCAAAAGCGAAACCATCCCAAGCATCAACATGGACGTTACTGGTTAAATACACAGATGACTTACCCCTTGACGGAGTTCCAGGGGCGCAGGGCTCGGCCTCCTGACCCACCATCCGAGCTGCTGTGGGAATGGCCTGGGGTAGCCGAGAGGTCAGCTTTCTTCTGAGCAGCTGGGCGTGACCTTTAGGGGCAAGAGAAGCCACTGTTTACCCCTGGGGAGCTCTACACCACAAGTCACTGGCCTCGGTCTTGGTCTCGGGGACTGACCCAAAGAAAGCAACTTGAAAGCTCCTCCGGACCCCTACAGTGTTTCTCAAGCCTCTGAGAGAAACCAGGAAGTTGTTTTCTCCTCCCGGTTCCCCCTGGACCCCGCCTTTGATTTCCCCCTGGCCTTCAGACAGGCGTCCTCCTGGCTGCCCCAGATAAGGGAACTGAGTTGCCACTGCTCCCCAGTGATACGAGGTGGGCTGACAGCAGGGCACTTCTGAGCAGGTGACAGCCAGCTGCGGAGGGGAAAGTGTCCTGTGGGAGCTCTGTGTGCAGACCCCAGGGCAGAAGCCCACTCCCTGCATCCGTAGGGCATCTAGAAGCCTTGGGGAGATCCACGGTGAGCGACATGAGGTCTGGTTCTCGCTGTCACTGTTGAGAGACACTGTGCTGTGACTAGGAGGGTGGCGTCCCAAGAGAGGATCTGGGGACAAAGGAAACCACAGAGTGGTGTCACTTGTGAAGGGGGCTGGTGCAGAGATGCTCAGGACCAGTGAGTGGGATTTGAGGAAAACATAGTGAGGAAAGCCAGGAGTTAAGCAAGGCGTGAGGTGCTGACCCTGCTCCCAGAAGATCCCAGAAAATTCCACGGAGGGTGGGGGAAGGGCGTCAAGTCTGGGCTACAGAGCCTGTGGGGAAACCTCCCAGGCTGGGACTGTAATGGGGGAGGGAGGAGGTCTGAGGCTGGAGGAGTCCAGATTTCAGAGTCAGGGGGAGGAAGCGGTGGGTGGTCAGGGGCAGGACATATGGGGCAGGGGGTGGCTTGAAGAAGGATGAAGGGAGAAGAGGAACGCCAAACAGCTGGGAAGACTGTATGAACTTCTCCCGGATCCTCTCTCTGAACCTGTGACTGACCTAATTTGGGGCCACCCCCCTACACTGTGGTTTAGCACTCACACAGTTGGCTAAAGGACATCCTGTTAATGAATGCCAGAAAAGTGTCTGAGCTAGCTTTCAACTCAGAGCGTGGACCTGTGAAGATGGAAATAGAAACAAACTATTAAAAGAAAGGCAAAAACAAACATAAAAGGGCCCAGACGAATATGTGGTTGAATGTTAAATTTAACTCAAAGATGACGTTCGTCCTCTGCACGGAGGGGTTGTCGTTGGTGGGAACCTGGGGGGTGCACGCTTCCCAGCATGGGCTTGCCCCCTCCCCCCGCACGGGCTCCTGGAGTGAGTGGGGGTCACTGCCCACTGGTGGCGGCACAGCCCTGGGACCTGCCCATGGAGGGGCTCTACCTCCCTCAGCTGGGCTATTTGCAGCCACACCAGCCCCGCACGCCCCCCCACCCCCCAGGACCTTGAGTGAGTAAGGGATGGTGGCTCAGTAAAGCTCATGCAGGGTGCTCACTGGTCCGTGCTGGGCAAAGCAGTGAGAGTCAAGTGAACTCGGAAACATGGAAAGTCCCATGGATATACACACTCACACTACATGGCTAAATAGAGGAAAACGGCAGTGGTCAGGACCTCATGTAGGTCACAGAATTATATGAAATTTGAAGTTACCCAGGAAAAACATGGGAAATTTGAGACCACCCTTAACTTCCTGTTATTAATGGCCTTCACTTTCAGTATTATTTTATTTTGGCTTGATTCCCAACATTCTGCTTATCCAGCCTCAGGCCACGGGGTTCTTCCCTTTTTATTTTTTTTAATTGAGAGATACTTGACATATACCATTGTGTAAGTTTAAGGTATACAGCATGTTGATTTGATACGTTTCTATTGCAAAAGGATTGCCACTGGGAGGTTGGCTGACACCCCTGTCCCGTCACGTAACTATCATTTCTTCTAGTGGTAGCACAATTAAGATGTATCCTGCCAGCAAGTTTGCTGTTTATAATACACTTTCGTTGCCTATAATCACTATAGTGTGTATTAGCTCTCCAAGGCCTTGGGATTCTAGAAACTTCTAAATGGGTAGGAAGGAATGGTCTGGAGGTCTGAAGTGGAGGCAAGAGGAAAGTTTTATTACCCTTCTACTATCTGGAACCATAATAGGGTCTTCATTGTTTGTGAAACCTTACTTCATTCTGCGGCTTTGGCACGTGGCTCACAAACCTTACCTTCAAGGGTCTGAATTCTTCTTTATCGCTATAATTCAACCCCAATTTCAGTCCAAGAAACTAAGAAGCTATAACTCTCATTATCCTATACACACAGGTCATTCATTAATTCAGTTTATCTCTCCAGCTATTCACCTATATTTACAGAGTGCCTAGCAGGTGCCCGGCACTGTTCTGGGTGAACAACGTAGGCAAACATCCTGAACTTCACGGAGCTTTTGTTCTACAGACAAAAACAGAGTAAGTACGTAAGTTGTAGGGTAGTAGGAGAGATGTTCTGTGGAGAAAAGCAAAGCAGAAAGGAGGGTAGGAAGGGCCGGGATGGTTCAGTGGCTCACACTTTACGTAGGATGGTCAGAGGAAGCTTGGTGACAAGTGTGCGTAGGAACAGCATGTGATTAGGCCCTGTAATTAATGCTCACGATCTCATTTTTTCTTCTTGTTACTAAGTTCTTATACCAGGGAGCGTGGAAAACCCACAGTCCAGTGGGTTGTAGTCACACCATCTCTAACAAGGTCCGAAGCTCAGCCTTGGGAGGGAAGGCACCTTCCAAGTGTGTTCCTTCTGGGTGTTCTGCCTTAGCCTAGAGACAGCTCCCTACCTCTGCTGGTCCTGTAGTTAGTCCCTTGTTACTAATCAGTAATTCTTCATAGTAAATGTTCTTTGGTCAGATTACTGGTGTGATTTCTGTCTCTTGACTGGATGCCGATTGATAGATATCCAACATTGAATTTAGTTCAGTGAAGGGTTGCGAGCATCTCTGGATGATGAATTACTAACATGGAGAATTTCTCGGGGATTTATTGATATTGAGAAATGGCTATTCAAAATTTTAAAATTACGGTAATTTAATCTATCCCTTAAAATGGCTTCTTCAAATATCAGTGCTCTCAGATTATCTATCAATCAATCAATCTACCTATCTAATTTTTATTTGAAAATATTACATTACAGAAAAATTGCAAAGAATAGAAAAAATAATCTAAAATAGTGATATTCACAAAGAACAGCTATTACAATTTTTAAATAACACTTCTTAATGGAAAATGTGCAAAAACTGCTTTTAGATGACTGCTTCCTGCTGGATTAGTTGTTTGGCATTGAGTAGTAGATTAAAAGGACAAATACCCTCGTGTTGTAATTTTCAGGATTCTGAGGGTGTCTGTCCTGCCCCCAAATTTTCTCCCACTGACTGCTTAATGACTAACACCCAACCTCAGGGCTTGGTCCTCCCAGTAGCTGGTCTTCCTGGGAAGGCAGCAAAGGGGGAAACGATCCTTTCAAAATGTGATCATAATGATAACCAACCCTGAAACACAGATTTTCTATGTACTTGCTGAAAGAAAAATTGTTTCAAAAAAAATTGTGTCTAAAAAGCCTCTCTCAGTGCATGCTCCATTTATTCTGCAGTGTGCTAAAAAAAAGTGTAAAAAAGAAAAGTTGAGGGGGGAGACTTTGCCCAAGTAAGTTTGAAAAAGAGCGAAACTAAAAAAATTAAGCGAGTTTCTTTACTACAGGACTTCTCAGAACTCTTAATATGCTAATAAGCATTGTGATCCTCCATGAGGAAGAGAGGGTCTGCAGTGTTTCCTCAAGTTGTTTGATCATGGAATCCTCTTCTTTTATCCTCAAACAGATATTTATGGGCCCAGGGCTCCGCAGAACATAATTTGAGAAGTGTTGCCTTTGACATATGCGTGTTACTGTGTCTTGGTGTGGCCATGGGGACAAAACTCCACATCTCTGAAGGGAGCATAGTGACCGAGGGTCCCAACGGCCACACCCTGAAACACATCCTTGCATTCGTGTCAAGGCCATGCCTACCAGGGGTTGCTCCAGCCAGTGACCCTCTTACGGACACCAGGACAGGCCCAGTCCTGGGAGGTGAGCTCCTCTGATGGGACTTTGGCTGGCGCTTTCTCCCAGCCCCCCTCCCTCCTTCTCTCCTTCACTTGGGGCCAATTCTGCTTTGTGATCTGGTGGCTTTCCCAGCTTCTCCCAGCTCCCTTGCAAACTCTCAGAGTGTCTCCTCTAATACATTTCCTCTACGCCACATCCCATCTTGAAGGAGCTGAGCTAACACAGCCTTGGAAGTGAGGCATCCATCTCTAGAGTCTTAAGCCCTTTGCTTGCTGGAGAATGATACATTTTGCAGCA